ATATATATATGCATACTATATGAACAGTAACATCAACATTAATAGTGATAAAGCTAGACATGTACTCAGTATTCTGATTGTAACTCAACGGTATTTAGATGCATGCTTTAAAGGTCATATGGATACTCATAACAAAAAAGTAGTTGATTGTAAGTGAAGTTTCTTTTTTTATGCACAAGTAAGTGTTTTTTACGCCCCCATCATCACAATTTAGCTCATGTAACAGGAGTCCACGGGGACGCTGGTGTGCATGTGAGCATCATAACGTCCACGATACCGGATAGGAAGAAGAAAAAGTACATTAAGGTGGCGTGCTGGACTGTGGATGGCAAGTAGTTGGTTACAACTGAAAGGGTTTTTTTTTCGTTTTCTTTTCTTTCTTTTTGGCTTTTGTTTTTGGTTTTGTATTTAATGTAAGTTATTTTACGGCCCCATCAGGTGGAAGGCGTGCTGGACTGTGAAGGTCAAGCAGTTGATTGTAAGTGAAGTTTTGTTGTTGCTGTTGTTTTGGGTTTTTTCTGGGTTTTTTAAATATAAGTGATTTTTACACCCATATCAACACAATTTAGATCATGTAGCAGGAGTCTACGGTGAAAACTGGTATGTGTAAGTTACAATATTGAAATTGAGACGGTATCACTTTTAAAAGCTTATAAGCTCACAATTGTATTTCTGTTTGACTGACAAAGTTATACATTTCCTAGCTCATCTAGTGTATGTGCACGTTTACGTCTTTTCTATACTGCAGTGTCATAATAATACGACCCCCCCCCCCTAAAAAAAACCCCAAATATACTAGAGACGGAAGGGAATGAGTGGGAGATGGCGGGTGCTCTGGTGAGGATTGCCCCTTCTTTCCTCTCAAACAACTATCGTCCTTTTCTCTCCTCCTTTTTTTATTTCTATGCTACTATCTTGCACGCCTCTTACCTTCGGCGCTTTTATACATGTATGGTCTAATTGTGATGCAAGTGCTGTAAAACTTACTAAAGCTAACAAAAAAAAGAAGGGAAAGAAAGCATATATTACATTTGTAAAAGATGATGAAGCAGTAGAATTCCACTTAAAATCTGACAGAACATCTGACAAGAACAAAATATTGTTAGACAAATAACTGTAAAATACACAAATAAATGTATAGATTGCAACAAAAAACGACTCTAGAAAGTCAGTCTAAAACGTACAGCATAACCAATTCGACGGACACGAAAATAAGAAAGGGGTGGGTCTTTGCCCTCCAATCACTTACCGATGCCATGTGAAGGATGTGGAAGGTTAAAGGTTATCTCACAGAACATGCCCACGGCCGACAGGAATATCTTGAGAATGGCCTCGATGGGAAGCGAGCCCAGCCGGCCGCAGGCACAAGGACAGCCATAGGTAGCGGTGGCGATATAACGGCGCCCGGCCTTTCTACAGTTCAGGTACCGCCTCATACAGCACAGTGCCCACCATAAACCGTAAAACAGGAACAGACTTCCAGGAAGAGCGTGACCTTTGAGATCTCCCATTTTCGAGCGCCGGTCAGGTCTGGTTTACAAGACACGCGTTTGAGGGGAAAGACAATGTGGTGGTAGTTAATCTCTTGAGTGATATGTGTTTCTTAGAAAACTTTTCCCCTCTATCTTCGCAGTATTCTTTAGAATGGTTCCTCTCGAAACAGCACTCGATCTTCACCTCCTGGAGAGAACTAATCCGATATTTTCCTTCCGAATCTCCAAAGCACAATTCCCAATGTATAATTCAGGAGTAGTTGTAACACAGAAACCGACACATTAACTATTTCCTTGATATGCACAGATCTGTCTCTACCTTCCCTTCTTTATCCAAAATATTCAAACGCTAATAAACCGGGAATTTTTTTCTTCTCCAAAGATCAGGAGGGTTGTCTTTTTTTTTTTTTAATCTGAGGAACTCTCACTGTTTGAGCGATTATAAATATGCAGGACTGTAGAATGTAATCTTCTCTGACTGATGTGAATGTCTTCAAAAGCCTCGAAGGGCCAGCCACGAAGTCAACAAAAGGTGAGCTTTCCAGTCAGTGTGACCCAACGCAATCGTCTTGTTTTCTATGATGTATGCGTGCAGTGTGCCCTTATGCCTCCTGTTGCCTTTCAAGCTTCTTAAAAGCGTAATCTGAAAACATAAAAAGAGAAATTCACATTCAATTATATCAATATCGACTTTGCGCCAGCAGAAAGGTTTATCCATGATTACGTTTCTTATTTTTCTTGTTTGTTTGTTTTGTGTTTGTTTGTTTGTTTGTTTGTTTTTGTTTGTTACTGTAAATATAATGGAGTATGCTGGTTCCCATGTCTTGTATTTAGATCCAATTAAATTCTCCCTCATTTGTTTTACGATCTTTCCCACCGCAGCTTTACCTGTGTGTTCGTTCTCTCTTTAAGCCCACTTATCGATTTTTTCCGTCCAAGAAATTTCCATACATACATTTTTCAATCAATATCCATTAAGCTTTGTGCACCACTGCACTCAATCTCAACGTGTTTTAACCTGAATTCATTACGTCCTCCCATAGGCTTCTCCATCCCCACGCGTTCACGTTTTATTTGAAGCTCACTTCAAAATGTTTAGTGGACTGATAAATAACGTATCGTTAATATATTCGATACCAGCCAGAAACTCAGCCATTGTCCATCCGCTGTTTGCTTCAACTATGGATGCCGCCCCAAGACGTTGTAATCGAGTGTCTTACCTCAAACAAATTTTGAAGTGTCGACCAACGCGTTGAGATTGGGTGTACCCTTCAGCTCACGAATGCACGTTTATACATATGTATTTGATTATGCGTCTCTTCCCTCGTGTACAGGATGAGCTAGGCATACATTTTGTCCATATGTGTGCTACCCAGTTTGAGACCGTGGGATAGTGCTGTTATCTGCTTTTTAAGTAGAAGATTTTTTTAAATGTTGGAGATTTTCTCTTTTAATGTAGGGGATTTTATGGCTT